CCTCTGGGGTGGAGACCTTGGCGGGAGGCAGGGGGGAAGAGAAGACCTGCGAGGCGAGAGGCAGCGGTGAGGCATGAGGCAGCCGGCGAGTGGGACGGCAGCCGCAGCACTGCAGCTGTACTCACCGCCAGCTCTTGGCGTATGTGCTCTATTGTGGCCTCCAGTGCTCGCGTCCCCTTTGTGGCCTCGTCCTCAACAGCCTTTACCGTCTTCAGCAAGGAAGTGACATTCGTCACCATCACCTGTGGAAGGGAAAAGAGAGACAGGTGAAGCCCCACGCAAGTTCTGGGCTGCTGCCAGCACCCGTCCCTCCCTCGTGCTTTGGTCCAAAACGGCCCCATCCCCATACTCCACTCACACCACCTCATCTTGTTCTCCCATCAATGCCTCCTCTGCATGCTATGCCCCACCTTTTATGTGCTCTTTTCTCCCCTCTTGCCCTGACTGCCCCCGCGTTGTCCTCCTGCCCCCAGATAGGCAGAGAACCCCCGACTGTTCTTTCTCCATCCCCTCCTAGTTCATCCCCTCCTTCCCATCACGCCCAGCTCAGACCTTGGCAGAGTTCTTCAGCTGGTAGACAGCAGGGTCATCCCCAGCTTTGCCAGCAGCTGCCTTGGTGGCACCGATGAGGTCTCCAAGTGCCTTTGCCACATCCTTCACAGCATTGATCAGGACCACCTGGGGAGAGCAAGACCAGGGCAATGGCTACGGTCACACTCAGGCTGGTGGTGGTGTGGCCCAGCAGTGAGAAATTTGGGCACCCCAGGGCACACAGGGAGTCCAGCTCAGCCAGCATCAGCCAACCCTCTCCACAACACACAGGATGTAGCCCAGAGCACCACATGACACCTGCAACCCCCAACCCCTTCAAGCAAGCTACGAGCAGCCTCTATTCACCCTACACACCCCATCCCACCTGAGTCTCCGGGTCTTCAGATCCCAGACTGGCAGCACCCAGCTTCACCACCTCTGCCAGGCGGGTGATGGTGGACACAGAGGACTGGGCAGCCTGGGCCAGCTTCTCCTGGCTGGCTGTGGCGTTCTGCACTAACACCTTGGTGTCCTCCACCAGTGCCTTGGCTGTCTTCAAGATGCCTTCCCTGGGGAGAAGAAGGGAGTCAGAGAGGACACAGCCCTCTACATGCACACAAGGTCCTTGAGCTGTAGACCCTGCCTTCTGTACATACAAGCTGGAGGGGAAACAGAGTCAGCATGACCTGAACTTGGGGCTGATCCACAGCTCAGAAACACAGGAGACCAAGGGACAGAGCCTGACCCCCCATCTCTGGCTCAGCAGAGGCTGGACAAGGTGCCCAGGTACCTGTGGTCAGCAAAGGTCTCCGAGTTCTCTCGGTTGAGGGTTCCTGCCGTGGCAAACATGATGGTGGTGTCGAGGTCAGCAATGATGCCAGAGACAGCGCTGGCTGCTGTGATGCAGGCTTGCGTCCCACGGTTCCCAGCTTGAAGGGCTGCCAGCACGTGAGACACCTGTGGGGTACGAGTAGGGTGACTGGGGGAGCAGAGCACGTTCAGGCAACCCCCACCACACACACCTTCTCCAACACCTCCTGGAATGGAGTCACTCCATACCAAAGAGAGGAACTGGGAATCATCGGGTCTGGACACCCCTTTTTAGCTTCCAGTTATTTATTTTTACCTTGCACCTATTGTGTTTAGGGATCCAGGAGATGTTTGACTCTAGTACTTTCCAAATGAATAAGTATTGCAAGACAGGCATCAGAACATGACAACTCATTCTTTCGCTGCTAAACTCAGTTTCTGTACTTGGGCAAGCACTCACAGAAGAACAAGTTTCCTGATGGAAAGCAATCTTGGAAAGGAAGGACCTGCAGGAGGTCCTGAGCACGCAGGCACGTGCCAGCCATGATGAACAAGTGTTTGTTTTGCTTTTGTGATTTTGCTTACAAGCACTACTGCTCTACCCTCATCGACTAGAGTTTTTAAGCCACGCTTTCATCTGTTATTCAGATGCGTGCTCTTTAGATTGACTGATGGACAGGACGCTTTCCTCCATGCCAGCAAAAGATGAGGGGGAGATCAATCACCTAGCACAAGCCGCGAGCTCGGCTGGACACATTAAACGCTACACCCACCACTGCAAGAGCTGATCTGGAGATCCCTGGGCTGCCACCAGTGCGTAGATCAGCCTCCCTGGCCAGCCATCATCAGCACATCAGCAGGCAGCACCTGGACATCACACTCAACCGTCACAGCACCAGCTGCTGTTACGGTGCCTGGAGAAGGGGATCCATCCTCCACCCCACCAGCTGGGCAGGGTGAGTGTGGCTGAGAGAGCCAGCAGAGCCCAACAGGATCAGGGGAGAACCTGAGAACTTAGTGTGGCAGCTCCAAGGGCACATGGCTCAATCCAGCATCCCTCCCACCTCATCACACTGTCACCCCTCTCTCTGGACCACTTACCTTCTCGGAAACCTTGCGTGCACTCTCTATCAGCTCCTTCTTGGTGTAGGCATCACTGGGGCTGCACTGCAAGGCTCCAGCCTTGGTGACCAGGGCGGCGCAGCCGTGACCCAGCTCCTGCACCCGGCGCTTGATGTGGGAGCCGATCTGGAGAGGAACATGTGCGTGAGAGCCAGCAGAGATCTAAGCCCTGCGTCCATGATATGGGCTGGGAAACACCAGCCACCTCAACCCAGCTCCTCTCTCCCAATCCTCCCAGTCAGAAAGGGGAAAAAGGAAACATGGCTTTGCTCCATGTTTCCACACTGCATTGCAGGGGAGGTGTGAATGCTGCCTGCCCCCAGCTCCGATGGGAGGTCTGAGTGTCCCTGTCCTCTGCTCTCATACCCCAGCAGACCCTGCTCTGCCCCACAGCATGCTCCAGCACTCCCCACCACACTTGTACCTCCTCATTCTCGGCAGTGAGGGCAGCTGGCTTGGCCTCTTGCGCCAGCTGCCCATAGTCGTTGGTGAGCTGGTTGGCCAGTATGCCCAGCTCGTCCGGGTTGGTGGTGGATTTGGTGACCTGCCAATGGAAGAACAGCAGGAGTTGGAAGGGCCCTACACTGGGACAGGCAAGCAAGGAGGATGGTCGCCTGCCGGGGTGGCAGGCAGCACTTTCTGCAGTGACAGTCTTGCTTGCACCCACCATCTCCTGCACGGTCACTGCGATGGCCTTGGCTGTCTTCACCATCGTGGTCTGGTAGTCCACAAAGGTCCCCTCTGGCTCACCCATCGGCCCCTCATCCAGCTGCAAGAGACCATCAGGAGACTCTGGCTCCAGCTCCAGCCCAAAGACCTTGTAGGGTTTGACCCTGACTCTTCCTCTCTCCCACCCCCAGCCCTGGCCAGGTCTTCTCTGAGATAACCTCACCTGGTTGATGGCCTGGGTGATGGAGTCCACCATGCCTCCCACAACACCTGCAGCGCTGGCTGCCTCATTCAGGGTGGTGGTCAGGTCCTCCACAGCTTCCTTCATCATCTGCACAGCCTCCTCCAGAGCCTCCTGGGTGTGGGCAGCTTGCTGCAAGGATGAGCCAGAGTGAGGGAAGGCATGCAGCAGCTCCCCTCCCGACAGGGATGCTGGCACACGCATGTAACACCATGCAGCACCCACACGTGAAGGGGAGCACATCACTGACATGTGCCCTTCCTGCTCACCTTGGGATTCCCGCCAGCCTCCTTGGCCGTGTACAGCATCTGCAAGGCGGACTCAGCCAGCGTTTTGGTCTGGTCCAGGAGGTTCATCTGCTGCTGGTGGTTGGGCGTTTTGGAGGCAGCACCAATAGCTGCCATAATGAGCGGCTCAAAGTACTGAGCCATCTGGGACACCTAGGGAAGAGCAGCATCAGCACCGGCAGCTTCCAGCCCTGGCTGCCTTGTGCCTCAGCTCCCACTGTGAGCTCCTCTGTGTGCACTGAGCACCTCGTCAGCAGCTCCCCATCCCTGTGTTACCTTGTGCCCCAGCTGCGAGGCCTCTGCCCGTGCTGCACTGGCCACAGGCTCAATCAGGTTGCTGATCTCCTGGACAGCCGTGATCATCTGGTTGTGCAAAGCCTGTTGTGAAGAGAGGGCGTTGTGTGAGGCTGCAGCGGGGCTGGGGGTCACTGTGTGCTGCTGGCAGCCGGAGGGAAGGACACCTGTCCCCATTAAGTTTCCAGCAGTGCATCCCTGACCCACCTCCTGGGAGATATCTTCTCGGGGGGCCAGCTGCTGGCTGATGGCAGCGAGGGAGGCCTGGTCCACCTCCCGCATGCATCTGTTCAAGACTTCGATGGCCTCGTCACACTCCCGCTGTCCTGGAGCTTTGTCCCTGCATGACAGATGGATCAGCCCAGCACTGGCAGGTGCTACGCTACCCCTTCACCCCGAGCCTCGGCTAGTGCCAATGAGGGGCAGTACCCCTCTCTAGGGCTTTGGGGCAACCCAGCGTCATAAAGCCTGGGCAAGCTAGCATGCATTCCCATCAACCCATGCCAGGACTGGAGGAGCAGTTCCTGCACATGACAAGAGGGACAGCATCTTCCATCCCATCCCTTGTCTCCCCGCAGCAGCAATGGCCAAGATGAGCCAAAACATTCTCAGGGATGCTCATTTGGAGCAGGGGTACCTGCCAACATGGATGGGGCCATGGCCAAATGGGCAGGACTTGCCTCACCTCATGTTGGTGATGAGCTTCTTGATGGAGTCTGAAACAGTGCGAGAGTGGCCAGCCAGCACTGACCACTGCGGTGGGTCCCTGGGGTTGACAGCCAGAGAGCGGGCGGTCTGGATGAGGCCAGCAGAGCTCTCCAGCATGGTCTTGGCTGAAGAGACGATGGGCTCCATGGCTCTGCGCCCCTGTGCAACGAGACGATGGATTGGTGATGCATGCGAGGCACTCTGCCTGGGAAGTTACACCTCCTCCTATGACCCTCTCCTCAGAGCAGCCCCTTGAAGCTGAAGGTTTGCCGCCACTATCACATTGTCCCAAGGCACCAGCCCCACACTAGGCCTCCATCCCAAGCTCAGAAGGAGGCACAGCACCTCCCCACCTTTCAGCAGCCCCCATCACAGCCAAGCCACATCCTCCCTGCCCCTGTGCATCCCACCTCTGGGCTGATCTGGGCAGGAACGGTGGCAAACTCTGGGTTGGAGGCGAAGGCCGTCAGATTATCCACAGCCTCTATGAGAGGGGCAGTGGCAGCGCGACATCGCTCCCGGTTTTCCTCGTTGAACTCGCCATCCAGGGCCTGGTGTGGAAAGACAAGAGCAGTTATCTAACCCCCACCATGTCCCAAATCCCAGCCCCACCATGGTGCCCTGGCAGGGTGACTGCACCTTGATGGTCTTCACCAGGTTGGCTGTGCTGTTGGCCACCTCTTTAGCTGACTGGACGAACTGGCGCTTGGCCACAGGGTTGGCGGTGCGGGAGGAGGCCAGGCGGCACGTGTTGCACAGGGCCGAGGTGTGCTTCGCTACGATGGTGGCTGCTGACAGCACCTGCGGGGAAGAGCAGGGTGAGGAAGGATCCACCACGACTCCCCATCCCTGCAGTTCTCCCTTCCTGCCAGCCCCACATGGGTCACCAGTGAGCACAGAGGTCCCTCTTGGGACCCAAGAACGATCACCAAGGTCCTGCATGCCCATACAGCCCCCCATCTGGACTGTTACCATTGTACCAAAGCTGCCAGCTGGTTCCCAGTACAACTGATGAGGCCTGATGAGACATAAGCCATAATCTTGGCCAGCTCTTGAGATGCAGCTCTTCCAACTAGCTTCACACTCCCTTTTGTGCAAGAAAATGCCCATAACAGTGCCCCACATCATACTGACCTGGGACTGGGTGCAGGCAGGGTCCACCAGGTTCTGGCAGGCCATCTGGATAGCTTGGTTAGCTCTGGCAAACTGAGTGGGGTCTACCAAGCCCTGCTGTCCAGCCTGGCTGTTGGGGTCCGAGACCCCCACGAGGTAGGCAGCCTAGGAGCACAAGAGAGGTGGTGAGAGCACAGGCACACAGGAGATGTTCACAGCAGGCACAGGCTACACCATATCACGGGGCCAGGCTTTGAGGGGCAGAGAAGAGGTGCATATGGCAACTACACACCATGGGTAATGCTCAGGGCTGGGATCAAGTGTGTCTCACCTGGGCAGCTGCCTCCGTCAGCCCGCAGAGAGCTTTGGAGGCGGCACTGATGGAGTCACCGAACTCGGGCAGTTTGCTGTTCTTGGCGTTCTGGGAGATGCCAGCCATGGACTCACCCAGCACCTGCAGGACACACCACGCACTGGTTAGAGACCACCTCCCGCTCCTGTGCCATGCTCCCAGGCTCAGAGTTCACTATGCCTCATCAACAGAGAAGGAACCACCTTTCCCTTTGCCCTCACATCCTTCCCAAACCTCCCCATCCTTCCCCAAACCTCCACCTCCAGTTCAGCGCTCACCTTGGAGTTCTCCATGACACTGTCAAGGCAGTTGAAGTAGGACATGTCGTTGACAGTCTGGGTGGGATTCTCCAACAGCTCCTTCACTGTCTGTAAGGACATGGGTGTCACATCCAAGGAAAGGGTCCATGCCCTCCGCTTGCACCTCCTCTTTGCTCCCTCCTGCCCCTCGCAGTAGGGTGCAGCTCCCCCGCCCCCCATCATCTCAGCACCCAGCCATCTCAGCCCCTCCGCTGCCTCGTCAAGATGTGGTTTCTCACCTCCAGCTCCCGCAGGGCATTGTCGCACTCCTTCTGGCCCGGCGCCTGCTGGGTGCACATAGTGATCAGCTGGTTAATGCTGTCGGTCACAGCCCTGCCGGACACAGCGGAGAAAGATCAACGGATCAACACTAGCTCTGCCACCTGGACCCAGTGCTACAGCAAACAGCTCACAGGGAGCGGTTTCTCCTACCGTGCCGCTGCTGCCAGTTGATTCTTGAGGTTGGGGGCTGCAGGGTCGGCAGAGAGTGCCTTTGCAGCCAGCAGTAGCTTACTGGAGGACATGGAGATGCTCTTCAAGTTTGACACCACCTGTGCCTGGTCTTCTTTATTCTGCAAGGAGCCAAGAAGAGTTACCTGCAGCAGGTTTCCAAGCTCCACACCCACCCTGGGTCTTCTCTGGTGGCTTTCAAGCTGAGCCAGTTCCCTTCATCAACTTGTCCACCAGCAGTAAGGATACAGCGGCAATGCTTGCTGAACAAACCCAAGCCACTTCCTCCCTGCTGCTGCAGTTTTGTGCAGCTCCAGAGCCCATCTCACCGACTGCATTGGCCAGAGCCACCCTAACCACCACTGCCTGGCTACCCTGCCTGTGGTCAGTCACCTTCTTAGGCATTCCAAACTTCTAACCATACCCAGGATCCCCCAACAGGTCGTTTGCTCTCACCGGGGACTGGCTGGCCATCTCCACTCCTGCTTGCAGGAACTCATTGAAGTCCTGACCAAATTTGCCAGAGGACTTGGCCAGGTCTTGAGGGGTGCCACGCGATGCTTGCACCAGCTCGTTGGCAGACTGGTTGAGCCCCGCGGCTGCCCGGTTCAGCTGGCTCTGTGCCTCCTGGAAGGTCTTGGTGCTAGGAGGGAACTGGAAGGCAGGGAGAGGGGTTAGGAGAGGCAGTGAGGAAGACGGAGATGGAGGAGGAAGGTCTGGCACATGCTTGGGGAGATGCTACAGAGGAAACCGGTGCGGACAGACCGGCTTGCATCCCTACAAGCCTTCCCCCTTCCACTCCCTCGCCGGCTCA